AGTAGAACCTTCCAAGTTCTACTATAAATATATATATATATATATATTTCCCAGGTGATCCACACAGCTCATTCAAAGCTTACAAGGACAGTAGGGAAAACCTGTAAAGAAGAATTTTTAATAAAGAAAAGGTTATCAGAGGGGAAAAACTGGGAGGTGTAGAAATGGAAAGAGGGAAAATAAGACTCAAAGTCATTTCAGGAATTACTATAGGAAAGAGGAAGAATATGTCTTATCACATTGAAATGTGCCCAAAATGCTTTCTGAGACAGAGAAAAAAAATGCATAATGCTTTTCAGTATAGTAGTGGACGTGGTAATTTGCTCCAAATGGAACAAGACACATGGATAGAAGAAAATAATGGCAAGTGATCTAATATAGAATTGTCCAGAGGATTAAGTAAAGAAAGTAAAGAAAATAATTATGAGTATTAATTAGAAGCAATCATCTTAATCAATCAAGCACTAACATGCTGAAGGTGAAGTTTGGTCAGTGTGTGACCCCTAGAGCTATTTTTTTCTAGGATATGAGGTGATCTAAAAGTGAAGTTGGTCTTGGGTGTTGGAAGAAGTCCAGAGGAATATAGTCAGGTTTTCTAATGACTCCACCATCAAAGGGCTGACATAAGCACTAAATTCAACAATAATATAGCATATTACTATAGATTATTTTATCCACATTATGAAAACATTAACAGGAGAGATACAGATATAATTGCTTGTATTTTTAACTGTTTAGAGTAAATGTAGACACATGAAAAAGTCTGCCACTTGAGTAACCCAGGCTCAGGGGAAATTTAGTTAATCATGATTCATATTTGAGTTGACTTCAGAGCATTGCTGTGTTTATAATGTCCTGTGAAACAAAAGGAAAATCAAGTTACAAACTAAGAAGTCTGTTTTTAACCTCTCTCTGTACAACAACTATATAATTTGGAGAAGATTACATTATTTGGGGGGGTTAATTTTTCTCATCTGTAAAAAAAGAAGGGAAAAGAGGGAAGGGAAGAATAAGGGAAAGAAATAAAGGAAAGAAAGATCAGAAGGGAGACTATATATTGTTTTGTGATTTCTAGAAAACACAGTGAAGAGCTTTCTGGTGTTGTCTGTGTATCTCTTAATCGGACTAATAGCATTTTACAAAAAATTTCTGTGTAAAGCTAGCTTTGAGGAAGTTGACAAGAGAATCATCATGTCTTGGAAGGATCTGCTGACATCACTTAGGCAGATTTTGGAATGCTTAGAGGAATACAGTATATTCTTTGATGAATACTATGTATACATCATTTTACCCAAATTTTACATAAATAGTCAATGACAATCTCATTATTCTTTTGTTAAGGAAGTAATCTATTTATGTATAATTAATATAAAGACTCATAATAAATTAAGACAGAACTTTAAAAATGGGGAAATTAGCTTTATTTTTAAAATATAGAGTTTAAAACTTAGTTTAGATACTTTTTTTTAGTTTTTTATTTACTTGGTAAAACTGGTTTACCAAGTTGCTCATAACACAGTTGTTACTGGCATTCAGTGTTTCAACATCAATCCCACCACCAGGGAGAACTTTGCTCCACCATTGTCCCCATTTTCCCAGTCACCCCTTAGCAGGTACAAAATAATTTATTTTATACTGCTTATTACAACTAGATGGCTAATGGAATTAACAGCAACAACAAAGGTCAAGAAAAGAAAAATTTTGAGAATTGCTATAGCTCATCATAGGGTCCTTAATTTCTTACTGAGGGTCTGCTAAACTGTTTGATGCTAGTTGAGCATTCTGTTTTACTGCTTTCATTTACTGAGCTTCCTGGGATTCTGTTACTTTTCCATTGAATTTGGCGTGCTCCTACTGGGACGTCAGTAATTGTTGAATTTGGAGGCGTCCCACTGCCAGAACCAGAAAACGTCAGGCTCTGTAGCACTGGGCCACTTTGTTTACATGGTGGCGGCTGTGGGTTGTGGGTGGGATTGTAGAGCTTCTCCCGTGGGAGAAAAGCTGCCTGGCCATTCTGAAAAGACCCAAGGTCTTAGCCTGAAAACCGGCATACTTGGAATTTTCATCAGTTTCATGTCTCTGCAGAAATTAGTCTCAAAGCCCCCGATCTGGGCCACTGGCAAGGCGGCCGTGGGGTGTGGGCGTGGTGTGGTCTCTGGGGTCTCAGCAGGGAGGGGCTTCAGCCAGCCCCCCTCCCAAGTTTTCAGCTAGAAAACGAGTGTTTCCATGAATTTTAGAGGCGTGGTTTGCATCTCTTTCTAGATTTAGTCATGAATCTGTAGATCCGTGTCTATGGATGAGTTTGCAACTAAATCTGTTATTATTTATTCAATTTTATACCATACCTCATCCTACTTTCCCAATGTTAACGTTTTATACAGCTATGGCATTCTATTTATCAAACTAAAAAAATCATTCTTGTTGCAATACCACTAATGCTCTTTTTTCTATTTGAGAAGTTAATCCACATTACATTTAGTCATTATGTACCGTTAGACTTTTCTAGTCTGTGATATTTTCTCAGTCTTTACCTGTTTGTTTATGTGCTGAAAAATCTGAAAAGTACAAGTTAGATGTTTGTAGATTGTTCCTTCAGTTTGGTCTTGTCAGATGTTTTCTAAAGATAAGACTAGAGTTAGGATTTTGGAAAAACATACTAAAGAGGTGAAGTGATATTTTTTGTTTCTTCATGTCAGGTACATGTGACGGATATAGTTTTTCACTGGTGATGTTAATCTTTATCACTTTGTTAAAGTAATATCCATATCATCCATATCTCTCCATTCTAAAGCCACTATATTTCCTTTTCATGCTACATTCTTTGGAAAGTCTAATCCAACCTCATGAGGAAGGAACTTCAAGTTCTACTTCCAAGATGGAGGGGAAATATATATATATACTCTTAATTTAAATGTCTATATTTTCTCTTCCATTTAATTGTTAGTCATTTATTTATATTAATGTAGCACATGCATATTTATTTTATTCATTGAGTCATGAATACATGACAGGGGTTTAGTTGCTTATTTTTGTTGCCCAAATTGTCCCAACTATGACCATTGAGAGCTCTGTCAAATTGGTTCCTTGTCCTTTCAACATTCAATTATCTATCTTTCTAACTTGTTTTCTTTTCTTCCTTTTTTATTCACTTTCTTCTAGGTACTATAAGATGTTCCAGACTCATCTTTATTGAGCCTTAGCTCAATAATTAGTGGCTTTCCAAGAAGCTTTGTCAACTAATTTTTAATTCATGAACTCAGAATCTTAAAAGGAGATTTATTTTCACTTAAGTTTCTGAAGGGCAATGCAAATTTACAGATGGCCCATCCTATGCATATGGAGTTCCCTTTGTCTTTTTACTTTTACAGTGTCAAATCATATCTGACATGCAATTGCAGAACTTGGGAATTATCAGAAAGACTTTTGTTATGGTCTTCACTAGATGGATGCCATTTTCACAAAGTTTCAAATACTATTATACTCTTCAATCAGATTTTTGGTGATCGAAAATGATTTGATAAATTATGCCCTAGAAAACCAATAGTAATTTATATTTTAATCTACTTAAGGAACTAATAAATTTCTTCTTAGCTTGCACTTTCCAAATATGTTTCCTAGTTTATCTTTCCTGAAATATGTTACCATCATTGTTGAGCTCCGGACAGCTGGCCAGACCTAATGCAAGCTATTTTCTACTATAAGCCATATGTTCTGGGAATCACTAGGCTGATAGATTTATAACCCTATACTGTGATCAGTAGAAAAGGAGGCGTGTCCCTAAATATATTATAAACAATTCAGACACCACCAGGAAAAGCAACATTTTATTGCTACTTTATTGGTCTTATGAATACAAATGGAACAAAAAGTAGATTGTCAATGTAAAATGAGATAGATTATAGTGGTAGGTACAGGAAATTATTTTTTTTCCTGAGATGTTCCATTGTTTAATCTATTTCTTTTAAATATTAAATAAACCTTCCCAGATAATGTGAATTTGTACCTCTAATGTCTATACAAAGTGACTTACAGCATAGCATCTTAATATTGAAAATTTAGGCAAAACTTTTTTTGCTTTTAAGAGGAATAATACCTAGCAGTACTTAGGTGTCTCCTCTGAATCTGTGCTCAGAAATCACTCCTGGCAGCACTTGGGTGGCCATATGTGATGCTGGAGACTGACCCAGGATTGACTGCATGCGAGGCAAGCTCCTCTCTCTGGCTCTGTGAAAGTTTTTTCTTTATATAATTAGTGTCTCTATGATGAAATGCTTATTTAGGTTAATGTCCCAGTGTGTTCTTTTCATTAAAATGTTTCTTTGGTGATTGTAAAGAATTAGTGTCTTTTTCCCAAAAGGAGAGAGAGAACAAAAGGGAATGCCCTGCCACAGAGTCAGGGTGGGATGGGGGGATAGGGGGTGGAAGGGATACTGGGATCCGTGGTGGTGGGAAATGGGTACTGGTGGAGGGATGGGTATTTGATCATTGTATAATTGAAACCCAAGCACAAAAACTTGTAAGTCTACAACTGTACCTCATGGTGTCTCACTAATAAAAATTAAAAAATGAATACATAAATAAATAGAATAAAGTTTCATTTTCATTTTTCATTTCATCATCCTGTTATTCGTCGATTGCCTCGAGCAGGCCCCAATAACATCTCCTTCATCCTAGCCCTGAGATTATATTCAAGGCTCTATAGGAGAATGAGACCTATCATTGTTACTGGTATTTGGCATATTTGGTACGCCACGGGGAGTTTGCTAGACTCTGCCCTGTGGGCAGGCTACATTCGATAGCCTGCAAGTTTGTCCAAAGTAGGAATGAGACAATAAGATGTCATAAAAAAGTTCTGATAAGATGTCGCGCTGCCGCAAATGTGGCCGCGCGGTTCCGGGATCTGGATTTTATAGAGTTTATTTAAGAAAAAAAGAATTTGTGTCTTTTTTTGTTATACTTTTTTAAATTAAAAAAATTAGTGGTGCTATACCCAGTGATACGGGGACTTGGTGAATACGGTTTCCTTCCAGAGGTCTGGAGTCAGATAGCTGTAGGTCTTGGAGATGGCATCAAACGTGGCCTTGGCAAAGTTGCCCAGGGTGGTAGTGCAGCCCCTGGCTGAGGTGTAGCAGTCGTCAATCCCAGCCATCATCAGCAACTTCTTGGGCACTGGTGCGGACACGATGCCAGTGCCCCTGGGCGCAGGGATGAGGCGCATCAGCACTGATCCACAGCGGCCTGTCACCTTGCAAGGGACGGTGTGGGGTTTGCCAATCTTGTTCCCCCAGTAGCCTCGCCGCACGGGCACGATGGAGAGCTTGGCCAGGATGATGGCCCCCCGAATGGCAGTGGCCACCTCCTTGGAGCACTTCACCCCCAGACCCACGTGTCCGTTATAGTCCCCGATGGTGACGAAGGCCTTAAAGCGAGTGCACTGGCCAGCAGGCATCTGCTTCTGCACCGGCATGATCTTCAACACCTCGTCTTTGAGTGCCGGGCCCAGGAAGAAGTCGATGATCTCTGACTCCTTGATGGGCAGCGAGAAGAGATATATCTCCTCCAGCGACTTGATCTTCATGTCCTTGACTAGGCGGCCCAGCTTGGTGACTGGGATCCACTCCTTGTCCTCGGCCTTTCCTCCACGGGCCCCACGGCCACGCCCGTGACCACGGCCGCGGCCACGCCCCCGCAGGCCGCTGCCAAAACCTCCGCGGAAACCGCCGCGACTTCCCATGCCGGGGCCCCGGGCCTCCGGGCCCTCCCGCAGCACCGGCGTCATCCGCCATTTGGTGTTTTCATGGAGAAGATAGCACAGTGCGATAGCTGGAGCGATAGCACAGTGGGTAGGGCGTTCGCCTTACAAGCGGCCAACATGGCCGACCCGAGTTTGATTCCTCCGCCCCTCTCGGAGAGCCCGGCAAGCTACTGAGAGTATTCGATATGCCAGACACAGTAACAACAAAGTCTCCAATGGAGACGTTACTGGGCCCGCTCGAGCAAATCGATGATCAACGGGAGGGCCTTTACTTTACTTTTACTTACTTACTTTATACCCAGTGATGCTCAGAGCTTACTCCTTGTTCTGTGCTCAGATATCACTCCTGTTCGTGCTTGGGGGACCATTTGCAGTGCTAGGAATCAAAAACCAGCATCAGTTAAGTTCAAGGCAAACACCTTAACCTTCTACTATTTCTATGGCTCTCCTTGTCATATATCTTAATATCCCATGTACCAGTAGGGTATATAAAACATTTAATAGAGTAAAAATAGTTTGGGGATGAATTAATTCATGCTTATCCTTGAACTTAAAGAACTAGACTGGTCTTTAAAAGATAATTCATTAAGACCTTTGTTTAAGCACTTCTGCTTTTGTATTGTATTAGAAGAAATTTCTGATAACTTCATTTCCTATAAAATTTGAATGGACTATAGTTACTGAGTTTTAATTCTGCTTCAATCATTCACAATATCTTTAGAAAATCAATAAGAAAAAATATATCCTTAAAATGATAATAGAAATATTAGTAGGCTTTATATGGTTATAAAATGCCTTCTTATGTTCTATCTCTTTTTATATTCTTATCAATTTCATCTGGACAGCAGTGTCAGCAGAGATTCTAGGGTATCATTTCAAATGTCTAAGTGCTTTCACTATAACAGGATAGAACGAAAGGTAAGAATGATTCTCTAAGTATTCTTACACAACCAGACTGCAGATTTCCAGGGAAGATAGGTCTCCTCTCCCTCTTTCTAAAGACTGCCACATAGTAAATTTAGTCAGGTATATCAGAAAATTAAGATTCGCAAATACAATAGGGCATATTAATGCATTGATATCACCTGCAATAAAGAAATGAAAAATAAGAATGGCTGAAAAGGGACTATAAAAATCATATTAGATGTCATTGTTTCTGTTCTTATTAATAAGGCGAAAGCTAAAAAGGGATACTGTGTTTAGCACAAAAAAGGTTCAATAGAAGCAGAACTCTCATTAAATATCCAAGCATGCCTAATTTACTCCAATCCAATGGCATGAATATCAATTAAAAATGCACTCTGTACCTCACTAATAAAATTTTTTTTAAAAAAATGCACTCTGTATCAAAGAAGTATCAGTTTTTAATGGTAGAGAAATTTCAGAGGTTCCACAAAAAGGGCAAAAGTCTACTAACTTATTGACTCTCAGACGAATAACCTTTCCAATTTTTAAAATCTCGACAAAAAGATAATGGAAATCTTTTCTCTGTAACACTTTCCAAAAAGATGACAACAATAGTAAAAGTAAGTAAAGTAAAGGCCCTCCCGTTGATCATCGATTTGCTCGAGCGGGCCCAGTAACGTCTCCATTGGAGATTTTGTTGTTACTGTGTTTGGCACATCAAATACATCACGGGTGGCTTGCCAGGCTCTGCCGTGCGGGTGAGATTCCCTCGGTAGTTTGCCGGGCTCTCCGAGAGGGGCAGAGGAATCGAACTCGGGTCGGCCATGTTGGCTGCATGCAAGGCAGACGCCCTACCCGCTGTACTATCATGTCTAGTTTGGAATGGGCTAAAAGAAAAAGATTTTTTTTTTAATGGAGCGATAGCCTGGTGGGTAGGGAGTTTGCCTTGCATGCAGCCAACATGACCGAACCCAGTTCGATTCTTCCGCCCCTCTCGGAGAGCCCAGCAAGCTACCGAGAGTATCTCGCCCACACGGCAAAAGCCTGGCAAGCTACCTGTGACATATTCTATATGCCAACCACAGTAACAATTGTCACAATGGAGACGTTACTGGGCCTGCTTGAGCAAATCGATGAACAACGGGAGGACAGTGATATTTTATTTTCATAAAGAAGTTCACAATAGTTCATTGCAGATAACACTCAAACACCAATCCCATCACCAAGCACCTTCCCACCACAATGAGAAGGAAGTGTGTGAAGGTTGTTGTATTCCATTCTGGAGCTATTTAAGCCTGTATATAGGAGACGTCTTATTATCTAGTTCTTACTCTTGGATGGAGATGTTACTGGGCCCGCTCGAGCAAATCGATGAACAATGGGAAGACCGTGACCATGACTCTTGGAGAACCCAGCACGGCAGAGTCTGCCAAATTCCTTGTGGTGTATTTGACATGCTCAATAACAATGATGGGTCTCATTCCCCTGACCCTGAAAGAGCCTCCAATTTGGCACTTTCTAAAATCTCAGGGCCAGGACGAAGAAGATGTTACTGGTGCCTGCTCGAGGAAATCGATGAACAACAGGATGACAGTGATACAGTGATATAGGAGAATACAAGCAAGTATGTTTAAAACCAAACAAATGTTTGCTACTTTTGGTAAGTAGGTGGGCTAGAGTACAAGAGTACAAGAGGTCATGGCCACGCACTCTAGGTAATTCTGCATTGCTCTCTTTTGGGAGCTTTAGTTTAGAGTCTCTGGATTTTGGCCATTGATGAGATTACATGGCACCGGGGGCAGTTTTTGGGTGTGACTGCCAAGTTACTGGAAAACTGGAGAGCTGCAGGGAGAAGGCCCAGTCTCATTCTGAGCAGGCTTGGAGATCTCAGTCACGGTTCCCACTTGGGTGAGGCTCGTCCACAGGTGTGGAGGGTGGTCTTGAGCATGGCATTGTTGTGTTTTGTGCATCTTTATAACTCAGTGGAATGTTTTCTTATTTAAGAATAATTTTTATAAAAATATATTTTCAGAACTGACCCAAAAAAGATATTGAATCACATTCACTGACCCTTCCTTTTCAAGAAAATCCTTTTACTATATCTTCACTAGAACAAAAACATTGTTTTAGACTGTTTTATCTTTGTCTTAAAATGTTGAGCATAAATTTTTTTACTTATTTAGACATTTTTTATAATAAACACTACATAAAAGATACCCCAAGTCAGGGGCCAGAGCATTAACGCAGTTGGGATGGCATTTGTCTGTACACCTCCTACCCAGGTTTGAGTCCTGGCATCCTATATGTCCTTTTAGCACTGCCAGGAGTAATTCCTGAGCATTGTTGGTTGTGGCCCACCAGACTATATTTATGTATGTATGTATGTATATATGTATGTACCTACACACACACATTACATACCAAGTGAACTGATTTTAATTTTTTACCAGTTTTGCTGGCTGACTATTGATCTTGCTGAGTGACAATGGTAACTTCGCAGAATAATTAAAATTAAACTTTTACTGGGAAAGAGTACCATTAAAATGTGTTTCTTCAAACCATATCAACACAAAGAACACTTGACAAAAAGTTATCTGATACAGATCAAAACCACAATGAGATACCATCTCACACCTCAGAGACTGGCCCACATCCAAAAGAACAAAAGCAACCGATGCTGGCGCGGATGTGGTGAGAAAGGGACACTGTTTCACTGTTGGTGGGAATGTCGACTGGTTCAGCCCTTCTGGAAAACAGTATGGACGATTCTCAAAAAATTAGAAATTGAGCTCTCATTTGACCCAGCAATACCACTCCTGGGAATATATCCCAAAGAGGCAAAAATGTATAGTCGAAGTGATATCTGCACTTGTTTGTTCATTGCAGCACTCTTTACAATAGCCAGAACCTGGAAGAAACCTGAATGCCCAAGAACAGATGACTGGTTAAAGAAACTTTGGTACATCTACACAATGGGGTACTATGTAGCTGTTAGAAAAGATGAAGTCATGAAATTTACATACAAGTGGTACTACATGGAAAGTATCATGCTAAGCGAAATGAGTCAGAAAGAGAGGGATAGACATAGAAAGATTGCATTCATCTGGGGGATATAAAGTAGCAAAATATGAGATTAATACCCAAGAATAGCTGAGATCAACACCAGGAGGATTACTCCATAGCTTAGTGGCCAGCCGGGCATTCTAGAGGAAAGGGCAGCTCAGATAGAGAAGGGAGCACCAAATAAAGGGTGTTTGGAGGATCCTCCCAGGAGGGGAGATGCATGTTGAAAGTAGACTATGGACTGAACATGTTTGCCACTCAATGCCTCTTTTGCAGACCACAACACCCAAAAGGAGAGAGAGAACAAAAGGGAATGCCCTGCCACAGAGGCAGGGTGAGATGGGAGGGATGGGGGTGGGAGGGATATTATCCATGGTGGTGGAAAATGGGCACTGGTGGAGGGATGGGTATTTGATCATTGTATAATCGAAACCCAAGCACAAAAAATTGTAAATCTACAACTGTACCTCATGGTGTTTCACTAAAAATAAAAATAAAAAAAATTTAAAAAAGTTATCTGAGTAACAATAGAATGCAATTGTTATGAAAAACACTGGTTCTTCTGTTAAATTTGCATTTTGATGAATGTGTAAAGTAAAGGCCCTCCCGTTGTTCATCGATTTGCTCGAGAGGGCCCAGTAACGTCTCCATTGGAGATTTTGTTGCTACTGTGTTTGGCATATCGAATACGTCATGGGGAGCTTGCCAGGCTCTGCCGTGCAGGCGAGATACTCTCGGTAGCTTGGATGAATGTGTAAGCTAATGAATCCGGATATTATTTTATACTTTCAACCATTTGTTACTTAGAATAGCAATTAGATGTTTCTGACACATGAATCTTCCAGGATAAAAAACAAGCTTCAGAAACTATATATATATTTATATATATATATAGTGTTAGATATATATATATAGAGAGAGAGAGAGGAAGGCATATTGCTTATGATGGCTCATAATAAGCAGTAAATGACTTGCAATGACCATATTAATGGGATATCCACAAGTGGTTCCTTCAGTGACATTTTTATCCAAACTCATATCTGAGACAGCATCTTGTTGGTTAATATAATGACTACC